TAAGATAGGCGCGCGCTTATTCTGGAATAAATTCGAAAAACTGTGACAGACTTGTAGATACTCAGATGTGCTAAAATTACTGACAGCAGAGCTAATAGTGAGATTTCTAATGTGACACAACACATCTATGCATCAGGAAAATCTAGGGTTTACTTTGCACTGCAGGCATGAGAGCATTTGCAACAAGCCAAGTAAGCTGTCATTAGGTATTCATTACCAGATTTTATACATATGATTAGGTATATAGTAGCCACAAACTTGTAAGTTATCTTTCGAATATGTGAGTTTTATAAATTTGAAAGTAGCCAATGCTAATGGTCCAATCACAATATGGATTAGCAAATGAGATATTAGATGATTAGATACTCTGACTTCAAACTTACTGTATGCTTCTAAATATGTATGGCTAGTTGACTTGGTTGCATTGATAATAATATAAAACCCAATCTGTTTCAAATATGAAAGAAATGCAACCAGACCCATGTCTCCAGTGTTAGTATCTGTAGGGCAATTGGGTTCTTATTTAAGACAATAAGACGCTCTCTGGTCCTGATTTTAACTTGGGTACCTATAGACTCATTCAAGGCTAAATTCTGTCTCAATTAAGGCATCAAACTGCTAAGAAAACCCCGAGTTTTTGTAATAACTGGATAACAAAATTGTTGTTTTTCTTGAGCCAGAATCTTGATGAGAAACTCTGAAATTTGTTCAGAAAAAATTTCAGCAGTATTTATTATTCAGGTAAAAGATATTTTCTTTGTTGCAATAGAGTTTTGTCGAAGTAAATGGATTGTGAAGTCAGTAATACAAACGGACACTATTAGCTACTTATTATACTTGTTCCTTATCTTGTTTACTGTCCCTCTAAATTAGGTAACTCGCGGTACGATACGATTTACATCGTCGCCCGCGCACCTCAGTCCTCCGTCTACACGACGTCGGATTGAGAGTGCGTATGTCCTTCTTACTGTGCAATCTATTACTTACAGCTCTCTAGTTATATATTACAGGTACATACATTAAGTCCTCCGTCTACACCACGTCGGACTGAGATTATAGATTACAGTTTCTACAAGTTTTTTTGACAAAATAGCTTACTAGATACAACTCTTCACCACTGAGAGAAAAGAGGCGGAGTTGGGGATTAGAGGACTAAAGACATTGCAATGGAGGTATCCAACTAGAGAACAATGCAATATGCCCATGGCATACACTCACAGTCTACTGCCATAACAAAATAAGATGACCAACATCCAATCAATGACAATAAATTGGTGGTATAACAACAGCTGCATGCACATTTCCTACTGTACAAAAGATATCAAAACAGTCTGAAGAAACACACATAGTCAGAATGAGTGGTCTAGTCACCCTACAAGAACATCATGCTAGGTTAGCAGTTGACCGTCTCGTAGCCTTGACCAGCAACGGTCTCTTAAGTATTGTAGTGCGCATGTTCAGAATTCCTTCACGATATGCCTCGATATCAAACCCTTTAGCGAATTTAATTGCGTAATTGAGCACAAGTCGCGCGACGACCAAGCGCATCTCCTGGTATGCAAAAGCTTTCGCAACGCATATGTGGGGTCCTAAGCATCATCATTCGATTAGCACCATTCCGAACACCCGGTACCAATAACACTGACCCGACGAGAAGGAGAACAAGGCCGTCCTCTCCGTTCTGGAGCCAGGGCCAAGACCACCAGGCAGCCATCTTTGTGGATGAAAATTCTGTTAAAAATCGCATATGAGCGCCTACTTCGCCATTTATTGAATGGCAGTGCCCTCACCAAGGGGTCTGGCCAGTAATTTTCGGGACTAGTTTGTTGTGAATAAGCCGCGAGAGCTACGATTGTTCCTCCTGGGATATATTTCCCTTCGATAGTGGCACCCTCCGCAGGGACGATGCGCGGAAGAAAGAATGGCGAACCGAGACGAAGCGCCTCCTGTAGAATAGCGTTGAGAAAGGGAAGCAGCGAGAGCTTGGTGGGGTCGAGGTCCCCAGCCCGGTCGGGGAAAGCGTTGTCCAGCTCTTCTTGCAACATAGCATAGTAGGTAGGGTTCGCCAACATGAAATAGAAGGCCAGTGCCATTGTTGTCGACGTGTTATCTGAGCCTGATAGCATCCGGATATCTATCTGTCTTTTGAAGGCGATGTATCATTATTAGCTCACCTCCTTGCATTGCTACAACGGCTTCAATTTCTAGATCTGAATGTGGTATCCGTTCACCGGTTTCAGGATTGCTGCTCAGCTGATTGTGGCAATGGTCAAATAGCCATCCATGGGGCAACGGTTGATTACACTGACCAAAAATGATGCAAGGTCACGGAGTTGAATATTGTCATTCGATTTGATTCGATTACGCATCATTGTGGCAGCAACATCTCGTAGACGGACCATAGATCTGCCTACAGGCAGGTGCCAGATGATATCCATGAGCCACGGTGTTTGCCCGACACTGGAGTTCGTTAGCGTTCGAAAGGCCAGATGAAAGATGAGATCCTATGCACCTATCGAGGAGAACGGTAGCGAGTTTTCCACCTTCAACCAACCTAAGCGGGTCATCACTTTTCATGAGTTCCTATACCACAGAAATGAGTCATAATAAAGTGTCAGCTTATCCCAAATTACAAATTCGTTACACCCTCCGAAGACCATATCTCCCTGTCTACGCTTTGAGAACAAATACACGTCATAGAATCGGACGACGTGCCATGAAGTCGTAAGCCCAGTGACTTAGAAGTCTTGACAGGTCAGTGGTTCCATCTTTGCTTTTAGATTGTCTGTCCTCTATGCTCTCCAACAATTCCCAGGCCCTATGCTCCATGTGAGGAAAAAACTGAGATACACTACGGACTGGTAAGTCAAAATTTGTGGCAGCTACCGTAAGTACGTACGCTGCGCCGGTAAATGCCGCAGACCAAAGCTTCTTGCGATCGTTGTGCAGCTTCTCCGTCTTTTGCTTGAAAAACAGAGACACGGCCTTGATCTGGCCCGGAGCGGTGTAGGATTCGCTCTTTTCCATATGAGCCTGCGCACTATAAATCGAATTTGCAGAGAGCGTGTTGATGGACAGTGTGTTCGGAGCTATGGAATAGAGGCTACGTGAAACAGGTATAAGTCAAAGAGACTTGAAGGCGTACCGATTCGCACAAAGGGTCCGTGGATACGATGGAGATCATCCAGGACTAGATGTCGCTTCCCTTTGTATGACACGTATGTCAGCCATAGGCTGCTTACCCACCACAAGCGAGGGCCTGGATAGGAAGCTAATGGGTGGAAGGGCGAAAAACGGTATGCAAGTGTACAAAGAACGAGAGAGGAGATGTAAGCGATAGTAAGGGTGAGCGTCGACTTGATAGACGCAAAGAGATCGTTGTTGCCGAGGTAGGTCGCAAGGAACAAGCTGAAATGGGCGAGGAGAAACGTAGCGGTTGCATAATCTCCCCTTACAGACCTCCGGTGAAGAAACAGCCAAGTGAGCTGTACATGTATATCGTGAGCTATGAAAGACATAAGATGACATTAAGATGAACATACAAAACCACCAAAGACCACTCGTAGGACAGGCGCGCTGACCTCGCAATTTATCGCCGTTACTGATTGCATGGCAAGGAATAGAGAGGACGCACCATGGTTGCGGTCCTTATTTATTCAAACACACGCGGTAGACAGTGATGACATGACGGAATACCGCGAGATGCTCTCACAAACATTTCATTGCACGATCCATTCAGCTCTGTCAGCTTGAACGTGAGAGCGGTCCATAAATCGCGCTCTGGGTATAATGTCAACTGAATAAATCGAGCCCTTGCTGCATCAGTACACGGAAGACAGACCTGAAGATGGACGCCCACCCAAGAATTTCAAACCACTGTTGAACTGTCAATAGCTTGACGTTAGTCTCTCAGAGCACGGTTATGAACGCTGTTTTCGCTCAATTTTGGATTTTCTTTTCGATGAGATGCAAACGCGGCAGACAAGTTTCGGTAGCGCAGTTTTCGGCATTGAGCGGCCCAGAGCGGCCCGCGCCATCTGCGAGCGGAGCTCCAAGTGCTAAGATCAGCGATCTATATCTGTTCCTAGTACACATATCAGGCTGCTCACAATAGGCCGTATAGATTCTTCTAGTGAGCTGCATCTGTTACTACATATCTGTTCATCAGACCCTTCGTCTTCGACATGAATGGTTTTCCCTTACACGACGTGCGTCAATAATCAATCCAGTGCTATCATGCCAGTGTCTGCGCATGGGCCTCAGTGAGACTCTGTAATCATGAGGGTATGCATCAAGATCATCCGATGTGGCTTATATCAGGGAACCGACGTCCAACAGTCAATCTACTGGGACCGATCAAACATCAAATATCCTCGCCAGCTGGATCTCATCAATAGACTTGTGCGCCATTGGAGGGTAGCCAACTGTAGTTGTTAGAGCGTAAGGTTTTTTATCATTGAATCACTGAACCTCAACTTTAGTAGGGCGTGGCGGGCGTCATACAGCCTACAATAAATGGGACAGTCGAGGCGCAGAGACTGCCCCTTCACCGGAACCTCGTCGCTTCATACATTATGGGTTTCATCAAAGTTCTCCTCCTCATCGCTGCTGCGAGCGCGCACTACATTGGCTTCAGACCTCCTTGCCCTCCTGCCTCGAAAGACGATCAAGTTTACACAGGGTCCTTATTCGAGAAAGTTGTCATTATTTTCGTAAATAGTGTACGGGTAAGGTTTGAGCCTCTTAGTGAGGTATCGATTAACATACCTACATCCTATCAGGTCGTAATTACCACCCTCTGCTTGGCGCACGCTGCGATGGTCATCTCACTTCACTATCCAAGTGCGACGGTCGCCCTCACGCCTCATCTCTGTCCTCACCCTTCATCGCAACTCAACTTGCTGGCAACTACATCGCCCCTGTTCCTCTTTGGTGTTTTCATCATCGGCCTCGCCGCCCTACTTCGAGTCTGGTGCTATACCACTCTCGGTACAATGTTTACCTACCGAGTCACCATCAAGCCCTCACATTCCCTTATCATATCTGGTCCATACGCCTACATGCGCCATCCCAGCTACACGGGAGTCCTTTTCCTCCTTATAGGATCCGCACTAACATTCCGCTCGGCTGGGAGCTATATTGACGAATGTGGGCTTATGGTGACACCAGTGAGATGGCTTATTCGTACATGGTACCTGTTCTCTATCTTTAGTATCTTTTCTCTCACACAGAGGGCGAAAGTTGAGGATGCTTTGATGCACGAGACATTTGGGGTGCAATGGATCGATTACAGCCGTACGGTTACCAAGAGCTTTATCCCGGGGCTGGTCTAGCTTAGGCAGGCAATACATACGATAGCGCAGATAGACAGGCTCCGACATTTAAAGTTAACACCATGAGGTGTCTGTATCGTACAAATATCCTGTCGAGGTAGACATGACCACTAAGTGAAATACGTCCTAAATGTGGCTGTACGAATATCATCGATACTATACCGTATTTCGAAGCGTGTAAGACAAAAACACGGAATAAAGCACTTCCCGGCGTATGTAAAACCGAAGACCTCTGGTACGTCACAGTCAACGGGTGTACTCTCTTCCGTGGTACTACATGGATCGTTAGTTGGAAAATTCCTATCCCTCGAGGGCAAGGCGCGATATGACAGACAGTTCAGGAAAATCATAGTGCGATCAGCATTCTATCGTCCTTCAGATGAAGTAGGTACCTTACAGATTGGTGAGAACTTGACAAGAGAACCGACCATAGGAGGCATGAGAAAATATCATACATGGATACCTTACCAGGCACATAGGCACCTTAGTTGGGTCCAGATACAAGTGAAGGATAAGCCCATCCAATCATCGTGACAGACACCGATCATGACATAGCCCCTACCCGCTATATCGTCACCGCCGATTCACTGGCACTGCGCGGTGGCACCTTTTTATCAATGAGGGTTCATCCTGAGGCAAGATGGTCAGGAACAAGTAGCTTCTGAGGTTAGAAGCGTTGGAAAACTGCAGGAGCCCTCCTCATCGGGGATGAAGTTTCCTACGCCCTATCTATCGGTTTGATACACTATAATTCAAGGCAGTGGTCCCCATGTCTGCTGTATGGAAATGTAGTACACCTCACTACGAGCTAGGAAAGAGCAGGCCGTACCAAGTTACATGAGACACAC